TCGGACTACCCGGTCCAATGCCTGAATTCGGAGTAAACTCTCCTCTGATTTCCATGGAAAATCCAAACGGAAGGAGCGAAAATGCATAGTTGTAATTACTATACCAGCCTTTAAATCCACTGCTTGATTTTGGAATAATGGCCAACATATGTGATCCATCTAGATCAAGTTCACTTCTACGTCTGAATTTTTCATGGAACAGTAGGGATCCAAACGTTTCTTTGTAACATTCTAGTGCGACCACTCTGGAAAGTCCCGATGCATTGTACTTAAAGTCACAGCCAGATGACCGGGTGGAGTCTCCTGAAAGATAAAAGTCTAGATTCGTCTGTAGAACAATATCCGTACGTGTACTCAAAGTACCCTNCTGAAAGTCGACGCCGTATTTACTTTCGTTTCTTGGACGACTATATAGTAAGCGACCTCGCATCTCTGACTCGTACGGACCAAAACGGTTGGCGAATAGGGCCTCCAATCGACTGTCTATGGCTAGCACGGGAATTTGCAATTGCAGCAAGCCGGATGCAATGAACTCGATGCGAAGCGGATCCCGACGCACCTTCCCGTGTAATTCATTACCCCATTCCACGCCTGCAATCAGTTGTGGTTCACCGTCCAAGTTGTAGCTGGTTGAGTTATGCCGAATAAGTAACTTATTGGTTTCCATATGATACAGTATTTCTGTGTGAATAGCACCCAACAAGGTATCCTCATTTTGAGCCAACACATGTTTGAATGCGATTGCAGTTTTCGGACCCAGTTGAAGCATATAGGTCGTATTCATGACTATTTCGCGATTTGGGGGCCATCTGAGTCGAAGACTGTGAACAGGTAAACCACGATACAGGGTACTTTCCAACATATAAACTGTGTTCGAGTCGAATTCGACGGAGGCCAAAGTCAGCACATTTTCCATAATAGCGTGACTGAAGTTCACACGAAAATATCGATTGTACTCTGGCGGAAAGATGCGCAAAGTGAGTGAACCGGTCAGATCACGTATCCAGGTAACTCCAGATTTTCGACTGCTTTTCCACTGAAGTTCTCCTCTTGCCAATGCGTCGATATTCTGTAAAACAAAACGGGGGAATAAACCCACATTTAAAAAATTACCGTTCTAGAGTGATTGGAACAATAAATTGGGGTTTTCCCCCATGGAAAGAAATCAATGCAAACATTGACATAAGTGACACTTTTCATTCTAAGCTCACTGATCCAGCATCCAGTCAGAAGTGTGCAAACAAAACCGTATTGCGAAATGGTGTGTGTCTGTCGGAAAAATTGTGGCGTATTCATTCTCGAAACTAAAATTATGTCAACTTACAACGAAAGTCAACAGATGAAAGGGAACAATCGATTCAGGGTTGAATAAACATCGGGGGAACCAATCCATCACGATCAGTGAGTACGGGATGGCTGAAGTGATCACCTCAGAAAATGAAAGTCCACATGTTTTCATTCTCAGTTAGCATAACGAGTGGGAAAATAAATGAGATGAAAAAGGGGATACACAGAACGATGCTATCGGTTTATACCTATGCATATACTCATGTACATGTAGTTTGTGCTGAGTCGAGGCTTAAACATAGAACAGAATCAAGTGCTTTCCGCAGATGCTACTTTTTTATTTAATAGTGTACCAGTGAACTACGTCTACAACTATACTGAGAAATATAACAGATAAACAGGTATTCCGAAAACGAATATCAAAGGTTATTATAGATTACTGAAAAACGTTTCATTTTTCAAAGCGGCCACTAAGATCAAAGAGAGATTTAGATGAAGGGCTACATGGGGCGGACTGTCACTGATATATGGCGATCAAATTACATAAATATAAGCAGTAGACTACGAGCGCATATTTAGGCTAGAGCACAATGTAAAAAACCACTATTGTTTTCGGTGATTCAACTTCTTTGGCTTTTACATCATAATTTTATATGTCGCATCAAAGCCGAAAGAAGACATGTCGCGAGATGTTAACATTTCGTTTAATCTTCTTAATCGCTGACGTAAAACAAACAAGCACATTTATAGCACATTAGATTTGTAAATCCTAGTGAACATGTACAGTTAGGCAGGGACTATTAGAATCTTTTTAAATGTACAGGTCAACTGCACGGCAAGTGAACTGATTGGATCAACAACGTTTGGGCACAAAGAACGGGATTATGTAATCGGATTAGCAACGCCTCACTTATCGCCAACAGTTTTGCATTACAATTACGTAACAACGGTTTAAAAGAGGAGTCGGGATCAACTATATGCTTGATTGTCATGAGGTGTTTTGCATTTGATGACCCCGGGTTACGTGTGATCGTCTGATTACTGGGCGTGGGTTGCATCATCGACTTGACCAACCACTTTGGAATGTGTTCGGCCATCCGCTGTGATAAGTGACGGTTGGTTCTGCCTATGTATGCGTCACCGCAACTGCAGGCGAACTGGTATACTGTGTATGAGACAGAACTGGATTGCCAATCATGCACCTGTTTGTCCAAATCGATTCCACGAGTAGAGGCACTAAGTCGGAGTTGAGCAGCTGGGATCACCTTTTGAACGATGTGCGCCAAAAGTTGAAGTCATCTCTCAACCGCGCATTCTAATCGTCCCTGTCTAACTGTACATGTCCGTTCATTAGGATTTACAAATCGAATGGGCTATAAATGTGCTTGTTTGTTTTACGTCAGCGATTGAGAAGATTAAACGAAATGTTAACATCTCACGACATATGTCTTATTTCGGCCTTGATGCGATGGATAAAGGGGACCCAGGGATTCAACTTTTTCTATAACTCCCTTTATAAAACGGGTGGTGATGGCAGGTACAAAACATAAACTTAAAAAAAGATAATATCTTCTGCTTTTGTTATGGTTTATAGAGTCCGGATATAATAAAGCTTGGGGTGGATGAATCAAAACAGGGTAGGTGGAGGACAATGTGAGACAGATACACACAGACCNACACAGACCTCACAAACTGTTTTTGTGCACGCACCGGATGAAGAATTGTGAATGCGCAATTCCACTGTTTCCGCTGTGGTCAGGATGCAATGTTTAAGCCGCTTAGCTGGTTGTTGTTGTTCACAAGCATATAGCAGACCGTCGTGCTCAAGTCAATTAAGTGACCTGACTTGATAAGGTGTAAACTAATTTCGCTTTTTCACTTCAGCGTGCAACCAAGCTCACTAATTCCGTGAATCAAGCATCTGTTTGTGCGACCTATGCACATACTCTTATTCTCGTCAGTGTTGCTAAGCCGAGTCTTCCAACATAATCGATTCCCTCATCAATTTTAGGGCAGCCTATTGAAATGCCAGACAAACTCGGGGGAACACTGCTGGAGTGGAGAAGGTGGTTCATAAGAGACTACCATTTACAAGTGGCAATGTGATGCAAGTGGACAAGTGAAGTCATTCAAACATTTTATGCAGCTAAATGCATTTACCACTTGTTAACAAGCCCAAGTTGACAGACTGTTACATCTCTAGAGCTAGGTGCGTACGCTCTGAAAGATTCTACCTTAATGCAACGATCTCGGGAACTCCATTGAAAATAAAAGGATTGGTCGACAAATTTATTAAGTTAATGGAAACCAACGGTCGTTCAGACTCCATCTTCACGCCTTTTTCTCAGTTTATCCAATCTAACATACAGCCGGGTAGCAACAGACTCGTTAGAGTTCATCAGTTTTACGAACTCAAGGGTACGTTAAGGGTTCAAATCCGCAAAAGCAACCCAGTACATCTGACTTCATTTCAAATGAAAACCATACGCTGAGTGATTCAACGCAGTATTAAACTCCGCAATAAAGACAGTTATTCATGTCATTAGCCTCGGATGTACATTCCGGACATTTGTCTCACGTCAGAACAAAAATACTTTCACCATACCAACCTCTTCCACTCCAATTCAGCAACCTCAGTGTACTTGTGGTGTAACTGTCATAGGTTTAAAAAGACCGTTATGAAAATGCTGCGAGGATTACTACCTACGTTGGCTTAGGCTCCGATGGACGAAGAACGTCAAACATTCTGTCGTTTCTCACTAGGGTAAGGTCAGATATTTTTACGAAAAGTATTCCGTATTTATCATCATGTATCTATGTATTTTCAAAGTTATTTGAAACCGATGGAATTTTTATGACATCAGACCCAACTTCCGGCGGATTCGTTCGTAGGATCTCCCCCAGAACCACTATATGGGATTGGTGCTTTGGCCGTCTAGCCATGGGGCCGTATTAATCGCAAAGCTAGTCCCTTCTACATGATTTGATTTACCCATGAAAACTTTGCGAATAAATGGAAGTAGGAGTTTGATTACAATCGACTGAGAACGTTTGGTCGCATAACTTCAACTGAGAGATGTGTGGACGAAATGCTGGTCACCCTCTGTCTTTCGGATAAGCGAGCAAGTTGCGATGAAATGACGTGATAAATCGAACACTGTACTAAGGTCAGTCGGACACGGGCTGCTGCATGGAACCCCAATGACGTTAACAACACCGTGTTTTCCAAAGCAGCGGATTCACACACACACAACTAAGATGCGAATCACACTATGAATGTAACCAATGCATTCCGCCCCTTGTATGTGATTCATGATCTGTTGCGTTGCCCACACTAGGAATAATGGAAATAATAGGTAACCGCTTCAGCAATCTCACCCTGTTTGTAAAGGTCTCCTTGTCAACCTAGAAACCCAATGTGATCTTGACAACAGGATGACGAGACAAAATTAATCAATCGCTTCGGCATCACATGTTCACTCTTACGATAAAATGAGCTCTTAAGGCTACGTAGTTTTTCTCTTAAAAACACGCCTCTCTAACCACACCTCTTACCAACCACTCTATTCCAGCATCAAATCAACAAGTCCGTATATCCTTTCAAGTTGTCTCAGAATGATTTCATTTCGTTTGCCCATTGACCTCACCAGAGCTGCCAGACTCACGCGTTGTACAAGCCTCCTAACCATCTCTGGTTTAGCACCATCCAGCACAGATTTATCAACCTCTTGTTGCAGTTCGTAGAGTTAGACGATGCTGTAATTGGCATCGGTCACATGTAGCATACCTCGGCCGTTTTGCTTGCCTCCATGTCATGTTCTATCCAGATCATACGCGGATCATGCGCCTCATTGTTATCCGGATTAACATTCGCTTAGTCTACTGCTTACAGATTATATTCCATTTCCAAGCTACCACCAGGGGAAATATAAAGTAAGTTATATGGAATTTACGTAATTATACAATGGGTTCAAACATTGGAATGCATTTTTAATAAGCACTATTCTGCGTATGAATTCCAAATGGGATAACCTGTATGGCTGATCTCATAATCTTCCTATTATGCCACTCCTCCACTACATATTTCAATCAATCAATTGGATAGATCGATTGAGGTTAAGTGGATAAATTCACTCAGCTTTTGCCAAACGCCTTTGGGACCACTTAATTCCCAAATGAAGCTGGTTCAATATCGGAATACGTGGNGGAAAAATTTAAAGAACACTAAAATTTCTCGATTCAGCTTGAAAAATGAGGAAACTACTGAAATCAAAACCAATCGGGAAATTTGGAAAGGTTTGAAAACTGATTTCGTATTAAAAATGTATTCATGTATATATCTCAAATGGGCAGAAATTATGTTTTTGCTTTTATAGGGGTGTTGCAACCAACACACTGAATAAATGTAGATTTGGATACCAATGAGGCGTATACCCGTCGCGTATGATAAATTGGTATCAGCAGAAAATGGCACGGTGCTCCAAATCAGGCTGAAGGGGACAAACACACACACACAGACAAATGAGCCTGTGGATAAAAAATAAACGCCTGTGACATGCCACGGATTTTGG